TTCAAATTAAATGAATTTAACTGGAATTTCCCATTACTGACAGGTTACTCACCCGATGTAAAGTCCACAACAGTCTTGTGTACGACGTCAGGATGACGACAAACGGAACTGCGAAACACACTGCAAAGTAAGCCAGGACGTAGGAGACATTCCCAGGGTCTCGGCTGTGCCAGTCTGGTGCACAAGAGGTCCCCACACCCTCCAGTTCATACCTGCCCCAGCCAAAGAGAGGGGGTAGATTCCAGGTGAGTGACCACAGCCAAGACAGGGCGATTCCTCCGACCGCATGTTTCCTTTCAAACGTCATCAGCCCCAGCGGTTTACACACAACAAACATCCTCTCAAGCGCAATCAGGGCCACTGTGCACAGAGATGCGATGCCTGTGGACGAATGACAACATATCATTGTGTAAATCATTATATTCTGATGAGGCTGATTATTATTTCACAAGCTTTTGAAATCTAAATCCTGTACAAATTCTCTGACCCTAATATTTGTAGAACTTCCTGTAAAACACCTATAAACCGTGACCACTTCAATGTCTTTCAGTTGAGGAGTTTGATTAATTTATCAGTGAGCCACACTGACAGCAGGTTGTTGTGGCTCCAGGGTTTTAGCCAAAGATAGATGAACTAAAGACAAAATATTATAATATTGACAGGGATATCAATGATTAATAATGGATTGAAAACATTAGATGTCCTAGTACGATGAGGCACACCAAAAACAGAAAAAGAAGCCGTAGCCTCAGAAAATGTCATTCTACCCTGAGGCACACCAAAAACAGAAAAACAAGCCGTAGCCTCAGAAAATGTCATTCTTGATGAGAAGTGACTAAAAACCATCCATCCTGAATATTCAGATTATATTGTTTACTACAATCCACCACTTTAGGAGCTACTTTAATGGTAATGTGGTATTTTTTAAACATAATAATTGTCATCATTATAATCTCTGACTGTATTTGTGTTACTGTCACTTCACTCACCACACACGGCCACCGCGAAGCCCTCCATCACGCAGCCTGTTCTGCCCAGGGAGAAGTATCCCTGGGCGTTGTTGACCACAGACAGCACTCCTCCAATCACGGCAGTTCCCAGGTCAGCCACGGCCATGTTCACCAGGGCGTAGTTGAGCGGCTGCCTCAGCTGCTTGTGCATGAGAGTCACAATAATCACGGTGGAGTTAAGTACGATGGCCGGACCGGTGAAAATGGCCATGATGACGGAGAGAATGATGTAGCCGGTGCGTGACAGAGGCGGCTCCCCCTGTGGGCCCAGGTAGGAGGAGGAAGCATTAGGGAACAACGCAGATGACTGCATGGCTGCTACAATTTTAAAAAATAATAAATAAACAGCGATCTTGTGGTTTCTCCCTCAGCCTGGAACTTTGAGATGCTCAGTTTCTCACCACTCGAGTGTGACAGCTGAGATTAGATGCCTCGAGTCTAAGAATAAATCCTGCAGCTCTGGCTTTAACAAAGGGTAATTCCTTCAAATGATGATCCTTGATCCGTTTCCTTTCACTTGATTGTGAATGTACTTTACAATCAACTCCGTGCTCTACACTCTCTCCTCACAGGAAGTCGTGTTTAGCAGCTGATAGCAGAGCACAGATAAAACATTATATATAAGCTGATGCTTAATTTTCTTTTGTTTTCCTTTTCTGTGTGTGTCTTTCTCTCTGGAGAAACCAGACTCAGGGGTTTGACACGGTTCAGTCCTGTAAAGGTCACGCCCTCTCACGTGTTCTGTCGGTATCACAGTCAGAACGTTAGTGACAGTGAAGGAATTCACCTCCAGATGCAGAAACAATGTTAAAAAAATACAGAAAAATAATAACCAAAATACTACTGCTACGACTATTACATATAATAATAAAGATACTACTAATATAAATAATGTGGTATACTTAGTATACATAATTCTAATATAATAATAAACAATAACTGAGATTCCAATCTACCTACTGCACATAAAAATATATATTTTTAAAATGTTACTCATATCACACAATGACCTCTGGTCTGCTATAATATATTGTATTTTACAAATAAACCATAAAAGATTTTTGAGAAAGCGTTACTGGGACTGATCTAAAAATCTCCCTGTTTTTTGTTCAGTTCTTTTCAAACCACCAGATTCTGGACTGTTATTTTTGCTGTTCTGTTTTGTCTCCCACTCACAGTTATAATGGAAACACTCAACACTCGAGGCGAGGTATAAAAGTATTCCATGCGTATTAACTTTGGGATCATGACGTAACTTCCTGTTTAAAATAATCTCCATGAGCTGCCAAAAATACGGCTCTCGTTGTTTTTGTAGCCACTCTTTAACAGCGACAGTTGACTGTCACGTGACCCACGATGGAGATGTAAATATCAAAACAGCTTTGGTTTACTTTTGAGGGCAGTCTGAATTGAATTGCCCCCGGCTGGTCATGGCGGGTGGTGAGGATAATCCCTGGGATTTCTCACCGTCCAGTGTTTGACCTTCTGAGAGGCTTACGTCTCATTAAGTCAAGAAGGAGATTACAAATGTTTGGGTTGAGGAGTCGGGCTTTGATTACGTGGCATTTATGTCACCTGAGAATCATCACCTTGTCGACAGCAGCGGCCTCGTGTGGTCAAGTGTGGAATGACCAGTGGTCAACAGCTGAGGGAATGAAGCCCTTGGCCTCATATTGAAAGAACTGAGTGTGTGTGAGAGAGAGAGAGTCATCTATTAAAGCTGTTTTGGCCTCATATCGAAAGAACTGTATGTGTGTGTGTGTGTGTGTGTGAGAGAGAGAGTCATCTATTAAAGCTGTGGTTTCTTCATCTGGAGGATCTGTCACCAATCATTTAAAAAAAAAGAATTTGAAAAGAGAATTTCTAATCAATGGTAATTATTACAAATGATCATCAAACAAAACTTGGGAGTTAGTGTAGAAAAATGATGAAGCTCAGAGGAATGCTGACACAGCAGGGCTTTTATTAATGATCTCAAATCAATACAGTTTCTTAATAACCAACCAAACGATGTATGACCCACTGGATCAACACTCAAATAAAAACTGCAGAACCAAAATAGAAACTATATAACATTACAATAAATAATATTTCCTTCCCAGTCCTTCAAAACAAAAAAAACATCTGGACTGAAATCCACCAGAAAAAGAAAAAAACAAAACAAAACCAAACGCTGCCCTCTGATCTGGGAGCTGAATCCAGGTCACCACAAATGAAAGTGAAGAATTTTCTTCTTCAGTATCTTGGCAGAAAGCTGCTTCTGTTTTCTGGTAGTTAATTAAAAGATGGAGGCAGCCCAGCGCTGCTGAAGTGGGCCGACAGGAGAGGAGCAGAGAACAGAGGAGCCTGGATGATATTGTCCGTCATCCAACATGCAGAGAGGTGCAGCTTATCGGCTCGTCCCAGACAGTACTGGCTCCTCACAACTTTGATGTACGAGGCAATTACTAAACTAATAAAAGCGTCAAGTCGAAACACTGCCACGGAGGGTGAGGACGGGGAGGCAGCGGAGCATCAGCATCACCCGGCCTGCTGCTCTGACATCATTATCTTCTCATAATCATCCTTGAGAGAGCAGCACCACGTCAGCTTTTTACTTTATAGTATAAACCAAAACTTTATGCATTTACCCTACGAGGGGTTCAGGGGTGAGGATCGAACCCAAACAGGACTCTGAGGGTGGGCCGTAATTTAAAGAAATACTGTGCAATGTTTTTTCAGAAGACAAACCATAAAAACCACATCAAGTTGATCCTATTAGTCTTATTAATGGACCGGGACAGGACGTGATGCTGTTCTTTTTATCAGCAAGGTAATTCAGGGTGCTTTTTTTTTTTTTTTTTTGTCCTTTTCTAACCCTTTGCAGGTGGTCAGAACTACTTTAGGCGTGTAACGTTGGCAGATGTGGAGAAGACCCAGTAGGTGGTAGTAGTGCTTTAAATGGTATAGAGCTTCTGTTAAACCCCAACCCAAAAAAAAGAACGTTTCAGGTTTAGAATGAAAAAAACTAAAAATAAAAAAAAAAGCCTACCTTTTAAAATATTTTTAAATGCAGTACCTCTTCTGGCCATCCTTTTAAAATATTTTAAATGCAGTACCTCTTCTGGCCATTTGGGGCTACATGCCAAAAAAAACCTAACTGCCACCTATTTCTCTCCAGTGATTCACAATAGTAAATATCACGAACGGCGCCATGTTGTCCAGTTACTATTGGATCTGTCAGCTGTCAATCACACACTGACAAATGATATTCACTTTTTTCTCTCCCTTTTAGACCAAATACATTTTTAATTAAATACAACATTGATTTTATACTAAAACGAACTGAACTCCTTCGTTGAGACCATAGAAGCGACAAAAGTGTTGTTTTAAATGAGAGAATGTTTTAGACTTAAATACATTCGACGTCTTACCTAACTTCATTCATTTACGCAGGATTTTCACGCAGGTTGTTCTTGACAGAGAACTTTTGAGTGTGATGTCTGACAACTGTTGTATGATTGGTCAGAATCACCGGGGGCGTGGTTAACTTTGTTAAGACGTTACCTGTATTTACCCCGGTATCTCCTTGGTTTTCACGAATTGTAACAACGAATTTCTATCCTACGCCGCTACGGTTGACAGTTATTTCTCTTCCTCTCCTTCTTCCGTCAACTATAAAACAACTGTTTCAACGTTAGCCGCGCAGTCGCCGTGTTGTTTCCGTCAAATTTCCACAAAGCGGCCACAAATTGTGACGTTTGTGGCCTTCACCGTAGGGGAAGCCATTTTAAAATAGTTCAAGCGTTTACTTTTTGAAATACCGTACTGCGTACTGGACAATTACGTAAAATACGTAAGACTCTTAAAATGCTAACTACAAAAATGTCGACAAAGTCTTTAGTAATTAATGGTCCACGCGTTGAAAGACTTAAAATCAGAATCAGAGTAAATAAAATCAGGTCTTCGGTCTGTGTGTGTGCACGTACGTGGGCGCGCAGACGTCGCGACACAGACAATGTTTGCTGTACTGCAGCGTCAGCATTAACGACAGTTCGTTGCTGTGACTTTATCAGGGAAAAGAGCGACGGTAGGAAAAAGAAAAGTTCCGTGTGTTGCAGCAGAACATCTGCAGACACCTGTCACTGCAGAGAGGGCGAAAAAAAAAACACCAGCGGATTTGAACACTTTTACATCTACGAGCTTGACGTCACTGTCAACCTGAAAATGTTCTGACGCCGGATGGTCGCGCATTTCGATCAGTGTACAGTGAAATACAGTGTGAACACGTGTCGAGAAAATAATGAAATAAATGTAGGCGTTCGACTGAGGCGGAAAAACGGACACGTGACTTACATACGTCACCAAGAACGAACTGATTGTCATTAAATACAGCTCCGTCGTGGAGTGGTATAATTTTCTAAGGCAAAGTGATGCCTCTCTCCTCCCCCTCCTCCTCCTCCCAACTGCCTCCCTCTCTCTCTCTCCCCCTCTCTCTCTTTACTGTACTACGCTCCCTCTCCCCTGCCGGAGAAGGAGTACCGGGTACCGGGGTCCAGCAGGGCCAGCACACGCTGCTGCTGCTGCTGCCACTGCCACCGCTGCTGCCGGACCAGGACTTTTTAATTTTTAGTATTATATTTTTTTATACATTTTACCTTTACAAATCAGCAGCCAAAGATGCAGGGAAAGTGGATGATGCTTTTCTTCCTGCACATGTGCAGCAGCAGCCTCCCCCTGCTGTGGATCTGTGTCGGCTGGAATGTGGAGGAGGTGACGGGATCCCAGCAAGGAATCCCCCTGTCAGTGTGAGTGAGAGCCGCCTGCAACTTCCCCATCACACGCACACACCACTGACAGACTGTACTGTGATTCACCTGGAGTTCAGTGAGCCTCCTGTTTCCTCTCTGTTGGCTTTTCATTCATTGGAGGAAATAAGAAATATAAGCATGATTTAAAATAAATATTAAAAATTAAATCCGTCAGAAATGAAGCATCTTACACGTTTAATTTTTAGTGTTTTATTCATTAAAAAAATACAGATTTAACAGGTAATGAATACTGATGTTCAAACATTTATTAAATATAAAAAAATCTGTTTTTTATGTTTAAGTTAAAACGATTTGTTAAAGGACAAAAATCAGAAAATCAAATTGTTTTTAAAAATGTAATTTTTCTGTCTGCTCGCTCATCAAACACTACATCTCTCAGACTTTGGTGTATTACTCACAGTTTATTGAATTTTTAAAAAATGGCGGATTTTAACGTGTAATAATTACTGACAGAAAGGCAGAAATACCAAGATTTGACCGAGATGAAAAATAGTCTAAATGATTTTATGAATGTGAAGGAGACAGATTTGTGCGACTGAAGTGAAACTTTTTCACACGAGTGTCAAGACAAAAAGAATCAAGTACAGTAGGAAGGAGGAATTCCCAGCTGTGAATGTTGCTGCATGATGTCATTTATCTCACGAGGAGGTAAAGTTTATTCTTTGGTGAAACAAAAACATTATTTACCAAATGAAATTGGAATAGTGTAACTAAGAATGATTCAGTCCAGTTTGGGAACTTTGTGTCAACACTTGATACTCGGTGTTCGATTAATTCTTTATCCCTGTCGAGATAAACAACTGAAATAGCATTTTTAAAGAAGTGAATCATTTCCCTGAGATGTCGAGATAAACAACTGAAATATTATCAATTTTAAAGAAGTGAATCATTTCCCTGAGTCGTTCTGTTGTCACTGTAACCTGTGTCTGCAGCTACACTGTGGTTTGTCTTCCTGTCGTTCTCAGTGTGAAGCTCTGGGCCTCGGCATTTGGTGGAGAAATTAAATCCATTTCTGCCAAATACTCTGGATCTCCGCTACTGCAGAAGGTATTCTTTTTTCTTTTTCTTTTTTTCTTTTCCGGTCTTTTCTGTGCTGCTCCTCTTTGTCTGCTGGCGGTGTACTTCCACACACTCGTCGTACGGTGAAACGCTGTATTCCCTTTTTCTAATGACTGCGGAGACACTTTGGTGTCTCAGCTGAATGCTGATGCGTTATTTTAGAGGAGACTCAGGTGTGTTTGGCAGCGTGTGTGTGTGTGTGTGTGTGTGTACTTTACACGGCCCATTAACCACAGCTCTGATTCCTCTCACCCCCTACCCTCACCAACACCACCCCCCCCCCTCCCCCCTCCACCCTCTGGCTCTGTGGAGTCAAGAGTTTCAACCTCTGAAAATGAATAAGACGAGGAGACAAATTAAATAAACGTGGTGGCGTTAAAGACTCGGGTTACGATGAACAAGTACAACAAAATGATGTAAATCTGACCACTGTGACGGGTGCATTCTGCCCTTCCCAGCATGCACTGGGAGTCGGTTTAAACAGATAAATGGTGAGGCGTCTGTTTCACTTACACTGAAACCATTCCAGAGAGTGTGCAGTAAACAGCTGGAGGTGAAGCGCCGCCGCTGTGGGAATGCTGGGAACTGCACTGCAGTGAGGAGTGTGTGTGTGTGTGTGTGTTGTTACAGTTACAGTAGGCGCAGTGTTTCCTTCAGTGACAATGAAGAGCATGAACAGCGTGTGTTTGATGTGCTCCCAGTCTTGAGGTTGTAAAAGGTTATAAAGACGCTTCGTTCACACCCGTTGGCGTTTTAAAGGCATTAAGGCCTAATGATGTCATTAGGACGCGGCTCGTGGAGAACTGCACTAAACAGAAGCCAGAACAAAAGAACTTAATAATGGCCGTCCACTAAAGTGTGGACACAAACTGCAGCGGCCATAAAAATATAATTTTCTCTAGAAAAAAAAATTCAAAAACCATTCATTAAAAAGTGAAGTAACAACTTTACACACACACATGAACTGCATCCTTATATTTAACACAGAAAGTTATCACAATATTGAATAAATAATCTGCATAACATTTTAACATAAAAATAAGAAACCAAAGATTTGGCAACAGAAGCTTTCAGGCTTGTGTTTGAAATCTAAACTCCAGGATTTTATTCCATTCATTAAACAGTCATCTGTTATATAATATAATAATATTTAGAAATATGAAAAATACATTTGGAAAATACACTGCTCTTCCCCAGCATCACCTGCAGTGATGTACATCAGGATTTCCCAGAATTGTTGTTCAGATTAATTTGCAGTGTTTTGTCACACACAGACAGTTTGGCTGCTACTGCCAGTGCAGTCGTTTTAATTAAGTTCCTTCACTCTGCCTCCTGGTGTCCACAGAGGGAGAATCGATGTGTGAGTGATGCTGACAGGTGTTCAGGTGTTGGTTTCCTCTTCATGCACTTCCTTATAAACACATCAAGACTAATTATTCCACACCCCATTAAATGTTGCATTACAGCGCAGAAACACAGCCGACAGCAGCCTGTAACGTTACAGCAGGATCTTCAAGATCTGACTGTGGACTTTAATGTGGCTCTATTTACTACCATTACACTGCAATGCAGTGGAAACTTTTATTGTTCTGTGGAGAGCTGCACGGTTGAAGCCACTCTGACAGTTACACCGCTGTCCTTTTTTTTTTTTTCTTCTCGGCCTTTATTTCAGGAGCTGTGGGCCATCACCGCACCACGTCCAGGGACCAACTCCAGCTCTGAGGCCAGCACCTCCGGCAAGGGCAGCGGCAGACTGAGTCCTAAAACCTCTGCCGCCTGCCTGGGAGGGTGGGACGAAGGAGGAACAGCCAGAGGAAATGCCCGTAAATATGGCGAGAGCATCCAGACTGCGATCAAACGACGACTGCAGAATCCAAACCTGGGTCCTTCTTGTAATGAGGTGACAGCCCCCCCCCCACATTGTTTCACATTTACTGTCTGTTCACACCTGTGATTAAGGCTACATTTGCTGTCAATTATGAATTTCATTATTGCATAGAAACCTGTTTAGTTTTTTTTTTTACATTTTGCTTTTTTGAGTTTTCTCCATCTTTGTGACCGCGTCAGCACTTTTCTCATGTTCCTGTTGGCGGAGCATGTCTGGAGAAAGCCGAGTTGAGCCAGTCAGCACAAAGCACTGAGCTGTGAGGGAAGTGACGGGTCGTTAGGGGCTGGTCATTAAGGCTGATCATTAGATGCTTTTATGATGAATTACTCACTTTCCCCTCAGACCTCAACAAAAGGGGGAAAGACTGAGGTTTTCTTCAGGCTCCAGTGGGCAGACCTCACTGCTGCAGTGGTCACTGCTCCAATCAATAGTCATGATCACTGCTTTTGATGGATGGGGCTTAACCTGCACTTGAGGACTTGAGGAGTGGCATTTTGGGAGGAAGAGAAGGAGGAGGAGGTGAAAGAGGAGGCGGGATCAGGAGGGAGGGGATTGGGGGGGGCGCTGGAGAGTCGGGGTGCTGAGGCGAGGAGGACAGGCGTGAAATGAACTGTTCTGCTCCACTGCCAACCCACACTCTTCCTTTCAGTAGGTAATTTGTCGCCTCATGTACTGATGTGTGTAAGTGCGTGTGTGCGTGTTCCCGCGCACGTGCCACCGTCGCACAATGTGTAATGTGTTTGAGCGTTATTGTGTGTTCTGTTTACTTTTAGATAAGGTTGTTGTAACTGTGGCTGAGTGGACACTGTCAGAGGAAGTGGCTTTTGTTTCTGCACGTGTGTGTGTGTGTGTGCGTGTGTGTGTCAGTGTCTCAGGCAGGTACAGGATACAGGATTATGTAATGTTAAATTCCTCTGAGCTGTGGCAGGTTTTGTTCTGTTTGACTGGAGGTCCGGTGCATCCAGCAGATTCAGCATTACGTGCGGTGTACTTCATTACCCAGAATCAGCCGAGCTTGACACATTATTATCTTTCTCCTGTGCTTTGACTCCATTTCAATTACCCTCTTACCATGCATAGCCTCTGGAGCCGGCCCCACCCCCCTGACCACCCAGCATGGCCATGTCCAGCCAATCGCAGAGACAGAAGCAGCATGTGCAGCCAATGACTGCGACCAGATAAAGACTATAAATCACTCAGTGCTGCAGAGAAGCTTTTATCAGCTGTTCATCTGAGACTGGCTGAATGCTGCTCGTCAGCTAGCATGTGACGCCTAATAAGCTTTGTTTAACCCTTCGTCAGCGTCGTACAGTGAAACATAATCCTAATAAAATGTTGCCCGACACAAAAACTCCAAAATTCATGTCTTTTACTTTTCCCTGTCTTGTGTTTTTTTTCTCAAAAGAAACCATTAGGGGGCAGTTGATCCACTGCAGTTTTCCATCATATATAAGTGTTATTTAATGAAGTTTACACTGAGACCAACCCGTTGCCTCTGGTTGTTTACAGAAATACAAAGAACTGGAAAAATCTGTCAGAGTGGAGGAAATCGATGGAGTCAAACTGGTTAAAAATCTGGCAATAAAGATGGAGGAGATGTTCCGGAAAAAAGCAGAAGCCACCAGGGTGAGTATGTGGCAAGGCATTTCTTTAGAGCATATTTATTTTATTTAGATATCTTTGTCAAATTCAGCAGAGTTGACGGGTGTTTGATGGTTCAAGGCTTATAAATCCAGACCATCGTCGCTGTGGTTGTTGTGTTGTTAGTTTTCTTCAGTTTTTGAGCGAGTGTCATGTGACCACCCAGATTATTATGAACAGAATTGTACCGAAATGTACAGATATGTCATGATACAACGTGGTACCTTTGACAGTACTGTAGGTACTGATGTGTACCTGAGTGGTGCACTCAGAGACTACGTTCCTTGATACAGCGTGGTATCTTTGACAGTACCGTAGGTACTGATGTGTACCTGAGTGGTGTGTTCTTCACAGACACCAGTGTTTGTGGCTCATTTAAACAGCAAATTTCTTTTACTAAACTATTTCTACATCATAATGGATGAATATAATTGTATAAAATAACTAATGTGGGTTTTTTTGAAAAATAAAATCCCATTTTTAAGAGAAGTTTGAATACTTCTATAATTTCAAATCTTGTTGGTTCAAGATGATAGGAAGAACAAGCTACATTTTACTGCCAGAGTTTTTTTGTTTTTTTAAAACAACGTAATTTTGTGACTAAATATTTTGGTTTAAAGAAAAACAAAACGTAATTTTGTGACTAAATATTTTGGCTCTATTAAAAATGTGTTTATTTGACCAGGATAATTTTTTTTAGATTTTGAAAATGATATTGTTTTCATTAAAATGTAATTTATGGTCTTTTATCGCTTGAGTGCAGTACAGTCTGTCAGTGACGGTAGCATATTAGCTAGTAGCGTTACCACAGATTAGTGAACCTCGCAGTGACTGCTGGGAAATGATAAGGATTATCTCCCTCTCTCCGCATGATCCCATGAGAACTATTCATGTCGCCCGGGTAAATTACACTCGTACACCAAACGACGCCTAATTGAATGATGTGATGTTTAATATAGGGAATCCAGAGCACAGATTTGTCTGTGTAACATGACAATCAAACGTCCATTTTTAATAATCAACGTCATCGGAAATGTGTGTTTCTCAAAAAGCAAGGCCTCGACTCCAATACATAACAATATTAAATACTTAAAAAAAAGAAAATAAAAGAAAAACACAAACCGAATGACAAAAAAAGGGATAGGTTTCACTTTTAGTAGTAAGTAATATATTTATTTTTCCCTTCAATTGCTGACGACGTGTGAACTCACCACAAGGTCAATTGAATTTGCCCACCACCGCAGCCTGCCGGGCGGTGAGAGAGCCTCAGTTGTGTTTATACGGCACTTATTTTGACACGTGTGTGACGGATGTTAATTACCTGCGTGGCTCGGAGAGCACAGAGTCAGCGTGACGTGGAGGAAACCCGCAGTCAGGTACATTTCCCCTCCTCTCGGAGCCCGACATTAATGTTATTTTCGAGGCTTTTTTGCTGCTCTGCTGCGCCGTATGAAAACCTGAAGCCATCAGTTATTTCACCTCAGCGCTGTGGCGCCACATTTCCTACGATATCGCTGCTGTTAAAAACAATGTCAGAGTCACCAAAGTGGAAATGCATTTGTTATTTTTATTTTTTTATTTTTTTCTCTCTCCACCAACTGTTATCGGTTCATCTTTAAACGCTGCGCACAGACGCTTACATCCAAAACATCATTTTCAACTCTGTCAGAACATGTTCCTGTTCGTTGAACTGACATTTGTTTAGATGAGGAAATAAAAGAGAGAAACAAACACAAACTGTACATGAAAAAATAATAATAATAAAAAACAAACCACCCAAGGCCTTGAGTTAGTGTTTCTCAAATAGTGGATCAGGGCCCATGGTGTGTGGCAGAACTTTTTATTTTATTTAATCACATTTTACCATTTGTGTGTGTGTGTGTATATATATATATATATATATATATATATATATATATATAATGTTCACTGTAAAAAAAACAAGGTGATTGCAGTGGCCGTTAAGTTCAATTTTAATTAAATTATTACATTTTAATTTAAATGTATGTAAGTATGTCCTGATTTCTAAATCAACACTATATTTATTAGAAATTCAACATATCTGTGAACAGGAATGAAGTTGTTGACACGGCCAGGAAATAATTCAAAGTATAAATTCTTCGTCTGTGGGGTTTATGTCATTCTTAACTAATCATCTTTACAACCAAAACACTAGTGTTGTGTAAATTTAACACTGAATTGTGTGAGTTTGAGTGAGGGATGTGATGTGATGTGATATGTATTTATTTTTTTGACTCATTCACTATATTTATTTTAGTGTTTCCTTAAGTTGTATTTTCCTGGCTAATAATTTCATTTGTTACAGATCACGTGTTTTTTTTTCTTCCTTTTTTTGTAATAATTGCACATTGCATTAGTTTTTTATTATTATTATGATTATGTGGGGACAGAGTAACTGACATGAAGCCTCATCTGTGGTCGACGGATGATCGAACAATTCTTGATATTTTATAATCACAGGGACATGTATCGTATCGATCTGTCTGTTTATATTCACAATAATTAAAGTTGTCCTTCCTCTTAGCGGCTGGTGGAGGCAGCAGAGGAGGCGCATCATCAACACGAGGAGAATCCAGACCTGCAGGTGAGGAAAAGAAATGAAATGAAGTTGTGCCTTTTTTATATATATATGTGGACTTTAATTTCCGTAGACCTTGATGAATCACACACACACACACACACACACTCAGGCAAGCATCAACAGGCTGCTGCAAGGTGATAGAAGGGCAGCGGGCCCTAAAAGTCTTTAACTGCGTGGCCCCCGTCCTTCACACTGACGAGCTGCCATCAGCAGCAGCAGCAGCAGCATCAACAGCATCAGCAGCAGCAGCAGCAGCTCTGATTCATAAAGCTGCTGTGATGAGCTGCTCCTCACTCTGAAGGCTGTTCACAGACTCACTGTCGTAACTCACGGGTAATAAGTGCACGGAAAGTGAAGCTGCGCAGAGCGGAGATGGACCGCGCGTTCTTCCACACGGTGCGTGTGTTGCAGCAGCAGCAGTGGTCACGTGATGAGACAGAGAGAGAATAATGGCGTCAGAGGAGTGAGGCCTGCGTTGATTCTAATTTTCAATTACATCTGAGCCTCTGTGCTCGTGTCCTCTGAATCTCTTCAGGACATCATTTAACGGGGCGCACCGAGCTGTTCCGGTCTCTGCAGAGGGAATGCAGTATTTCTCTCTCTCTCTCTCTCTCTCTCTCTCTCTCTCCCCTGTTGGACAGAGATAAATGAAACTCCTTTGCGCGGCGCATTGTTTCACTTTCATTGGCTTTAGATTGGAAACGCACTGAAGCAACAACACGGTGAAATAACGGCGGCACTTACACCTAATGTAAGCATTTACATGCTGCAGATGTGACCGAACGACCGTCGGTGACGGTACAGGCCCTTCACACACACACACGGTGTTTGGTTTTATATATATAAATATATAAATATATGTCCGTGTGGATCCGTAGATTTGAAGCTCGGACCGAAAGACAATTCCTATATTTAGGAACAGGTTTAGGTCACATTAAAGTTGTCGTTCTTTGTTTTATAGAATCAAACTTAAGTTTAAGTCTGATAAGAACTCAGATCATCTTAGAAACGATGAAAGAAAATATTTATAGAGATGGATTTAAAGTGTTTAAATGAATAAACAAAACGTTTTGTTTTACTATAAAATAATGGGGGAAAACGTCACCATTTAGGTAGATAGAACTTTATTAATCCCTCGGGAGTTCCCTTCGATAAATTAATGAATTAATTTAGCGTAAAAAACGATTTTATGTATTAAAATAGACGGCTAGAAATGTGGAGACGGGTTGTAACTTTTAAGCCACGATCAGGTCGGTTTTTTCCACGTGTTTCTGCTGCTGCTCAGTTACCGCTGCGATGACGTTTTTTTTTTTTTTTTTTTTTTTTTTTTTTTTTTAAATTCTGCTTTTTTTTTTTTTTTGGTTCTTTGTTTTATAGCCTCAAACTTAAGTTTAAGTCTGATAAGAACTCAGATCATCTTAGAAACGATGAAAGAAAATATTTATAGAGATGGATTTAAAGTGTTTAAATGAATAAACAAAACGTTTTGTTTTACTATAAAATAATGGGAGAAAACGTCACCATTTAGGTGGATAGAACTTTATTAATCCCTCGGGAGTTCCCTTCGATAAATTAATGAATTAATTTAGCGTAAAAAACGATTTTATGTATTAAAATAGACGGCTAGAAATGTGGAGACGGGTTGTAACTTTTAAGCCACGATCAGGTCGGTTTTTTCCACGTTTTTCTGTCGCTCAGTTACCGCTGCGATGACGTTTTTTTGATTAAACTGCAGATTATTATTTTTCTTTGAGAAAAATGCAGATGCTTCTCCAAATACAGATAATAGTTTAAATAAAACCCTTTTTTTTCAGTTTCTCTCTACTGTACATTTATAAATCTTCTTAATCCTGTCTTCACACCTAATCGGTGGATTTATTTATCTACACAAACGGCTTTTCTAAAAACTACTGTTTTGGGGATTTATTGAAGAAATAGCTTTTTTAAAATAAAAATAAATATCTGAGTTACGAGCTAAAAAAAACTGCTTGGAAGCGACGTCCAGTGTCGTAACGCGCATGTCCAGATTTGCGCGAATTTTTCTGAAAGGCTTTTAGTACAAAAGACAAAATATGAAATATGAAAGGAAACAGTTTCAAAATGATTCCTGACAAAAGGAATCTTTTTTTTTTCATATCTAAAAATTAGTTTACGTTTAAAAATAAAAGTTGTGTAACTGAAATACTAGTAATAAAATAGTTTTCCATGGAAATAACTGGATGTTATTTGTGAAGCACAGCATTGGTTTTTTAAACAACATTTAATGTACATTTAAATAACAATAGGAGTGAAATGGAATCTGCAGCAGTGGTAATGATGTGATGTAATAATCACACTCTCCTCCCTCGCCTCCTGTGACACCACACATTCTTTATGCAGCGTTTCACTGACCACAGGGAGATAAGCCGGCTGCCGTTATCTCAGCTGCTTCGTGTCAGGACAGTCAGGTGTTCCGCTTTGACCTGA